AGTAGATGTAAACTTTGGTATGTACATAAAATTCAATGGAAAAATTGTAATTATGTGTATAATTGTATGTCTCCTTTNCATATGGTCAGCATGGAATGGTCTGAGCCCATTTTCTGCATGAATTTTTCTGACTGAGCATTTTCTCCTTCATCTAGGAGTTTTATATTCGGCATGTGGATGGCTTTCCCATTAGTTTAGAGGCTGAACGTGAACGACTGGTGCAGTGTCTTGAAGCAGCAATTGAAAGGCGAGCATCTGAGGTGTGATAACAATCCATAGCTTGAAGCTGCACGTCTCAACCTTTTGTGAATGGAATGATGATGCTAAGATATGTGTTTGTTTGCAGGGAATGGAGCTAGAGTTGTGCACAAAAGATCGTGTAGGACTTCTTTCAGATATAACAAGAATATTTCGAGAGAACAGTTTGTGTATCAAAAGAGCAGAAATATCAACAGAAGAAGGAATGGCAAGAGATACTTTTTACGTTACAGATGTTACTGGTAACCCAGTTGACCCCAAGATTATAGATTCAATTCGCAGACAGATTGGTGACAAAGTACTGAACGTAAAGCATAGTTCTAGTATTTCACCAAAGGCTCCTCAACCCACAACAATTGGATTTCTCTTAGGAAATTTTTTCAAAGCTCGATCTTTTCAGAATTTTAAGCTGATCAGATCTTATTCTTGAGTCCTCCTTTGTATATTCTCTGCATATATGTTTATCCCCAGCGAAGGGGCTTGGAATTTACACTGTACAGTAGAAAGCTTAAACACACATCTACATAGCTTAGTTGTGCTACCTAGGTTCAATATGAAGCAAGTAGTCCTTTTAGGATGCCAAATCCAAAAGAGTATATAGTGCTTTTAGGGGTGTGATTTTTAGTAGATGCAATTGGGTCTGTACATGGTTTAAAGAGTACATTTTGGTGGTGTAATTTGGAGTAGATGTAAACTTTGGTATGTACATAAAATTCAATGGAAAAATTGTAATTATGTGTATAATTGTATGTCTCCTCCTTTCCTTTTTCTCTCTGTTCAAATATCCTGTTCTGGACTAAGTACTGCTATGTGTATAGATGTTCATAACAATGCTATTTGATTTATCTTAATCCTAAAAGGTTACTAAGGTAGATGTAAATTACAAACCAAGAAGGGATGTTAATTAAAAATCTCAAGATAATATGCTAATTAACGATTACTAGTGTTATCATTTACTTGCTTGTTTAAGAAAACGTTGATCATATTAGCTATTTATGAATTTGTGTGGTAGCATTACTCCACGTTATATATTAAAGGCTTGAATAAGTTTACTGTTTCTAAAAATATCACCGGTTTTTGCTTTGAATGTTTAATAATTGTTGTTTAATTGAGTATGTAATAAATTAATTTTTTTGTTAAGTTTATTTTATTATATATATCAATCCTATTTTCTATGAATTTATTAAATTGAAAAATATGTGTATGGAGTCATAAAAAGTAATGTGCTTTAAAATTATACATTTTCGTATCATGAATAATATATCATTATTAAAATAAAAGTAAGTTGAGAAACTAAAAAAATATGTAAAGATGTTTTAGAAATCAATTAAAAGAGTAAACATAGCTGTAAGAAAATAATATAAATAAATATTATTTTCATAAACTTTATAATTTGTAATATGTTAATTTTCTTAAACAGTATTAACGACTTAAAACAAAAAGGAATGCGTACATTAAAATAGTAATACTTGTGACTTTGTGATTTCAAAATTTATACAATTGTCCAATGAAAGAAATAATGATTCAATGTGCATAGGTAGTTTGGATATAAAAGGTGTTTTGGACTATGTAAAGACTTAAATTGGTATTTAAATTGTATTATCGATAAGTCACTATCAATCAAAGCTAGAAATTTGCATGGAAATCAAAATGAAAATGTTTCTTTGAAAACAAAACTTTGCCCACTTTTTTACAACTACACGTAGCGCATTGTTATTGGTTGGTTTGTAAAAATTTTAAAAAATGTGGTTTTTGGCGTGGAAGGCGTTTTTGGAAAGAAATTTCAGTTTTTCCTCTTGTAACTTTCATTTCATATTTCCCTCTTCTTCCTTTTTTGCTTGATCCATTTTGTCACTCTCTATCCACCATTGCATTGAACGTCACTCTCTCTCTCCACCATTTGAGTTTGCTTTAACTCTCTTTGGTCCATTGCTTTCACTTTGTGCAGATTTCACTCCCTGCAGATTGTGTGTCCGTGTGGGTTTTCTTCTCTCTACACATTTCCCCCTTTTTGGCGGCATTTTCCCCGTTGTGGAAGTTTTGGGTTTTTCTATCGCATTATCGTTGGCGTTATTTCTCTCAAGGTTTCGGTTTTTCGCACACAATGATTGGTACCACGATGAATTCAATAGTTGATGCATTTTGTTGAAAATGCGTTTGGCGGAATAAGACATGACGTTGTTTATACCTTGACCATGAAAGTTGTGTTTTTGTATCTTTGTTGAATGTTTATGATATGTATTCAAATGTTGAAGGCTGTAACAAGAGGATTGACTATTGTATTATGAATATTTTTTGTTTTTGGAAATTTGATTTTGGTTTTTTGGTTTTACCCTTGTCTTTGTGTTATTGTAGGTGAAATTTTGACTGAAGTGTTTACTTGAGTTGAAATACAAATGGAAGCATATACTAGCAATGTAAGTAGAGTTTGATAATTTTTTTCTATATGTTATTTTGGAACAATGATTGTTAGTTTGAAATTTGTATTTCAATTGGTATCAAAACTAACCTCACGGTGTTAGTTTTTAGCAGGACTTGAGGAAATGATCCTATCGAAGGATACGCCATCAACCGTCCTCCCCTTTTCAAGGACGAGAAGTTCGACTACTGGAAACAAAGAATGATTGCATTCTTTGAATCATGTCATATCAACATGTGCGACATGGTGGAGAACGGCAATTACATTCCTTTGGATGAAGACGGAGAGCTACTCTCGAAAAGCAAATGGATAGACGAGCAGAAATAGCATTACTTGTTAAATTGTAAAGCTCGTAATTATCTGATGTGTGCTCTCTCAGAAGAAGAATACACGAAGGTTCACACTTACGAAGGAGCAAAAGAAAAGTGGGACACCTTGGTCATCACGTACGAGAGATCAAACGAGGTCAAAAGGAATAAGTTGAGCTTGCTGACAAGACAGTATGAACTGTTTTCTATGCTTGAAAACGAAAACATTCAAAGCATGTTCAGTAGATTCTAACGATCCTAAACGAGCTGAAGTCCTTGGAAAAGTCATATGAGAACTTTGATCATATTGACAAAATCTAGCGAATTCTTCTCAAGTAATGGAGACCTCAGGTCATAGCTCTGCGTCCGTCTAAGAATTTAGACGGAATGAGTATAGAGGAGCTTGTGGGATACTAAAAGTTCATGAGCTCAAGCTTCTTCAAGATGGCTCCATCAAGAAGGAGAAAAGCATCGCACTCAAAGCTATCAAAAAGACACCTACCAAGGCTCTCAAAATGGACGAATCCTCCGAAGAGTCAATGATGAACATGACTCCATGGACGAGAATGACAAAAATGAGCTTTCATTCATCACGAGAAAACTCCAAACATTATGGAGGAAAAGAAAAGACACAATGTTCAAGACTAAACGTCTCAAATTTGATTCCAAGAATATTACAAGAGACAAACGACCAGAAGATAAAACTATCTCTTATGAGTGTAACAAACTTGGACATTGATCAATGTGAACTTTGATTCTTCAAGACTTGATTACATTTTAGTATCACTTGTAAAACATCGGTCTTATTATTCCTACTCTTGTTATTGGTATTTGAAGTGCTTCCAACTCCTTACTCTTAATCATGCTCTATCATCTAGTCAACTAGTTAATAAAGTAAAACTAATATAAAAATAAAGTGTTTTATTAAATTTTTTATTATATTTGTAAAAATTTGTACTATCCTTCATAAGTTATTTGCAAATATCACATTAATTTCTTTTTTTCTATTATACATTCATTTCTAACGTATGTATAAAACATTTACAAACTTTAACCATCTTTATAAAACTAATATGATCTTTTCATAAATTAATTGTCATAATAAAACCAGATAATAATATTATATCGTCGAGGTCAATAATACATGCATGTCATACTAAATTATCGAGGTCTAATAATATATCCATATCATACTAGATTATTAAGGTCTAATAATGCATACATGTCATACAAGCGCATATTTCCTAGTAATACATGTACAAATTTGTATTATGTAAAATACTTTATCAATATATTCTTAAATTAGAAAAATTAAGAGTTAAGAAAATAAAACAGTCTTAGAAACCGATTCAAATTATTGATAAATTTCAAAAGTTTTAATTTCTTTCATTCATATAGTTATAAAATATAATTTTAACCTAGGTTTCACACCAAATAATTTTATCAAAAATTGAAATGTATCTAGTCAATTAGTTAATTGGGTAAAACCTTTAAACATAAAAAGTTGAGATGTGAATTTTAATAGTGAAAGAACTTTATAGCAATTAGATATGAATGAGATCGAAATAAAAATTTATATGTAAATGATACTTAATGTAATAAAAAATAATAAACATGATAATATAAAATATCAACGAAATTTAGTTGAAGATTAAGTGTTACTAACAGAGATGTTGTATAATTTCATACAACCCTTACTTTTATAATAAAAAGTATTAATAATAATATAATACTGATGTTTTATGAAATTTGTTATTATTAATATTATATTAAAGATAAAAAAATATCAAATAATCAGAATTTATCTTTTACATGATTACCAACTAATTTATCCATAATAATTTATTTGTTATCAAAATTATAAATAAATACATAAATAGTTATAGGAAAGATGAATGAAATTTTGAAGTGAGGGTTATTAAAAGACTCATCTACTTCCATAGAAGCATTTTATAGATATTTGATACATATTCAGATCTTTTTCTTGAATATTTGATAGAGAATTACTCATACACTAAACTCAATTCCATGACATCTCTTCTTAACCTCTACTACTGGTGTTGATTCCTCGTACTCAGGTTTTAAATAATCTAACTCCAACTTTCTGTAATTAAGGTTTCACAGATGTTGTAAATATTCATAAAATTAGTTTATTGGAGGGTTAAGAGTAGGGAATTGATCCATGTTAGAAAAATTGATGATGAGAGGTGGAGCAGCAACATTTGATTTGGCAAAAGGGCTGAGCAAAGCGGTGATCTCAGCCTCAAAAAGGAAGGGAAGGCAATGTTTGTGGGGTTCTCAAGTGGAGGAGACACTCCACAGGTTGGGTTGGCGGCAATGCCTGACCCCATCATTGGTGGCCAATGTGATTGACCCTTTCCTCCTAAATCACCATTCTCTTGCTCTTGGCTTCTTCAATTGGGCCTCTCAGCAACCTTGCTTTGCCCACACTCCCTTTACCTACCACTCACTCCTCAAATCCCTTTCTCACACCAACCACTTCACTGCCATTCATTCACTCCTCAAACAAGCCAAAGCTCTCAACTTTTCCATCCATCCTTCTCTTTTCAGCTCCATTATAGCATCCCATGTTGCCCACAACCGTGCTCTCGATGCCTTTTTGCTCTTGGGTAATGTTGCTCCCCTTTGTGCCGAAATTGGAGGGCCCACTTATAACTCGCTCTTGGCTGCCCTGGCCTCTGATGGGTGCTTGGAAAGTGCGTACCAGCTGTTTGAGGAAATGACTCAGAGTGGTATTGGTTTCAGCACACTGGGATTTGGGGTTTTTATTTGGCGGGTTTGTGGAGAGGGTGATGTGGAGAGGGTGGTGAGGTTGTTGGATGAGGTTAAGGAATGTGGTTCTGGGATTAATGGTTCTGTTGTGGCGGTTTTGATTGTTCATGGGTTGTGTCGGGCTTCTAAGGTTTCGGACGCTTTGTGGATGTTGGGTGATCTAAGGAGTAGGGGTTGGAAACCCGATTTCATGGCTTACTGGGTTGTTGCTGCAGGGTTCCGGTCAATGGGGAATGTGGCTGATGAAGTGAAAGTTTTGAAGATGAAGAGGAAGTTAGGGGTGGCTCCTAGAAGCAGTGATTACAGGGACTTGATACTTGGCTTGGTTACGGAGAGACGGATGTGTGAAGCAAAAGAAGTTGGGGAGGTTATAGTTGGTGGTAATTTTCCTGTTGATGATGACGTTCTCAATGCATTGATAGGATCGGTATCAAGTGTAGATCCTAGTGCAGCTATAATGTTTTTCAATTTCATGGTTGATAAAGAGAGGTTCCCAACTATTTTTGCTATCAGTGATTTGTGTAGGAATCTGTGTAGGCATGGCAAGGTTGATGAGTTATTGGAGGTGTTCCATGTTTTGAATTCTCAAAACTACTTCAAAGATGTGGAGGGTTTCAATGTAATGATTTCATTTTTGTGCAGGGCTGGGAAAGTGAGAGAAGGCTATACTGTTCTGCAGGAGATGAAGAAGAAAGGGTTCCAACCCAATGTCTCGTCTTATAATTACATCATGGAAGCGTGTTGTAAGGAGGATCTACTGCGTCCTGCGAGGAAGCTCTGGGATGAGATGTTCTCGAACGGCTGTTTGGGGAATTTGAAAACGTACAACCTTCTTATACAAAAATTTTGTGAAGTGGGACAAGCTGAAGAGGCTCAAATGCTCTTTTACCAGATGTTAGACAAGAGAGTGGAACCTGATGTTACAACTTACAATTATCTTCTAGAAGGACTCTGCCAAGAAGACAAACTAGAAGAAGCTTTTGAGCTCTATAACAAGTCTGTCAAACAGGACATAATCAATGCAAGAGGCACATTGAGCTCGTTTACATTATCACTATGCAGGAAAGGTATTATTCAGTCAATCAAATATTTGTAACATAATACACTACAAATGCGTGCTTGTCAGCTTGCTGCCTCATCACAATTTAACATATGCTGTATGTTTTTCAAGCAGGTCATCATATGGCTGCATCCAAATTACTTTGTAGTCTCAAACATGATATAGGATGTGCAGAATCCCATATAATTTTGTTGAAAAGTTTGTCAGATGCACAAGAGATTCCAATTGCCATTGAGCACTTAAAGTGGGTTCAGGAAAAATCACCTTTGATACTAAGAGATATATGTACTGCACTTTTGGATTCTCTTTCTTCTGCTACATGCCCAGAGCCCATGTTACAGTTCCTTCAAAGAATACAAAATGTGTTTGATTTCCCTTACTTCGAAGGATATGTGTGACAAATGATTACGATTTGAGAAGATAGTGTTCTCAGTTTTGGGTGCCATTTGTTAAGTGTACATGCAACTTAGTAACAAAACCTTTACTGCATTGGTGTATTTGGATGAGAAATTTTTTGAGAGTAATTATATTTTGAGTATATTTGTTCTATATGGAGAATTGTGTTGTTTGAATTAGCAGTTTTGAGAAAAAGGATTTTTTTAAAATATTTTTATCATATATCTAATCAACTAAACATTAGAATTTGAAATTCTTACTCCTTGTGGACGCTCCTCTCGCAACGCCCTCTCTCTCTCTCTCTCTGGATACAGACCTCTCTCTTTCTCAACTGTTCATTCCTAGTTTGAGACTTTAATCTGCAATTCTCTTTTTCTTGATATCTATATGTTATTAAGAACCACCTCAGATGAAATAAGTCTATATGGGAAAGAGATGTCAATATCAGGGTTTAAACTATACACAGTGAAGTATAGTTATGATGTTTTATCAAAGCAAGAGTACATTAGGATTTGTTTCCTTATGAACTGTTTTATTGTGATGTTTAAGTTGTTCCCTGGTATTTTATATGGACCATGAGCATATTTCTTTATTTGAGGTTAGAAATTTGAAACCCCAAGTTCCTCAATATCATTAAAGATTTGGCTTGAGAGATAAATTGCATGCAATTTCTTTTCCGGCCTACAACAGTGGTCTTTCTTTATATAGACATTAATTTAATATAAATTTTATAATAATATCACATTATATAAGTTGAAATTTATATAAATGAATAGGACAACTTAAAATAGTGAGCCATATTTTTATCTTTGTGCACGATGTGTAGAATATGAACAAGCTAAATAATAAGCACCACTAATTTACTATGCCTGTTTGAGACATAAGGCAACTATTTTGGTTTAAGCATTTAAATAGCAACAATTTGAAATGCATTATTTCAGGTATCTTCTTTCTCCTTGTGATTGTCATTATTTTCAAGGTTGTTCATTAGTTAATAAGAAGCTATGTGTTTATATCTTCTAAATCAAAATTCAGAACTTAGGACTTGTGTTAGGAAATAGGGAGGAGAAATTAGTTCAGATAATTATAATATTAATGAGTTAGTCACTTGATATGCTAGTTAGATATAAATAAGGGTAGAACAATAATGGAAAAGATGATGTTAATTTGTTGGATTGAGCATTAGCTCTTTACGAAGAGAGTACTTTTAAATATATTTTTTTTCATTCTAAAAATATCTTTTTTGTTAAATATATCTTTTAGTTATTAAACTGACGTAAAATTAGATTTTGTTTGTCACAAACGTTAATAGAATTTGATTCCTAATTATAAAAATAAATAGATGTAGTTCTTATCACCAAACATTATTAAAGTTTTACTAACATGGAAAATGATATTCTCGCATGTCTATCAAGGTGTTGATGAAAATATTCAAAGTTTAGAATAATGGTGAAATCAAATTTTGTATGAAAGTTACAGAAAAAATATATTTAAAAGTTAAAAAATAAAAAGAAAAATAATGAGACCACACCAAACCCATATAAAATTACATTGTACAAATAGTTAAAAAAACTTATTATGAAAAAAGAATTAAGTAAAAACATGGATGGACAATGGTAAACTCATGATTATTTCACAAAAGTTGTTGATAGGGGAGCTATGTACAGCTAAACTCATATCTCACATGAGTTTTTGGTAATAACAAAAGAAATGTTTTATAGTTTCTTGCACAACAAAATAGTAAAACAAATGCTTGATTATATTTGTGTATGTGCTTGAATTGTTTGATATATGTATTCATTATATTGAAATGAATCATTGATTGAAATATATTGCACTTTGCATATCTAATAGAAATAATCGATTGCATTGTTTTATAATCGGTTAAATTTCTTCAAATTTGTGTTTATGCTTATCAAGAGCAAAACAACTATGTTTTAATGATTACATTAAGTGTATAATCGATTCAAACACGTAGGCAATCTGTACAAAAATAGAGTAAATATGCATACAACATATATGTATTTTCTCTTATTACTTTTGTTGTTTTTAAACGTTGAACATTTAATGACATTTAATGCATGTTCAAAACAACAAAGTGTTTTTTACATTTTCTACCGTTCAGGTAGGATTTTATCATTTAAGTTTTTCATTAAGATACCAAGCATTGATTGAAGACTTGATCATTGGATGAAGTAGATCATTTAGCTCATGGTATCGTCTATTCTGTATAAACGCTTTTAGGTTTTGCTCTATTCAATAAGTGCATTTAGCATGTTGTCTTTTATCACAAGTTTTTTAGACTTTCAAAGGCTTTCCAAAAGCATTGTCTATACACTTTTACCTTCTTAACTAAATTGAGAGTTTGACTGATTACCGTCTGGTACAATATATCTTTTGCGTGTAGTGAGACTCTCATTGATGCTTAAGTCTGAAAATCATATAGTGTTACGTCCAGTTTTATGCCTAGATGATTTTCTAAATCTTTCCTAAGTTACTTGGTTTTCAGAGTATTTTTATTTATCACTTATATTATAGCTATTCTAATACTCTAGTGATATCATTTCATATGCTCATTTATTTTAATGTGGTTTTTTAAACTTCAAAACATATGAGAGTGTTTAAACATATCAGTCTTATAGACGATTTTTTCTTTACACGAGCAATATTTAATAAATTTCTTAACACGGGCGAGGTTTGAATAGTGTTTCAAAAGCTTTTCGCAAGGACAATGTTTAATAACTATTTCAAGGTTAGACGGTTTGCAATAGTTGTTAGACGTGTGTTCTTAATAAAGTGTATTTAAGAAAATGTTTCAAATAAGGAAAGCAATAACATAAGTATTTTTATATTGGTTCCCTCAATCTTAAGCTACGTCAAGTCTCCATTAAGAACTCTTAAGGGGTTCCACTAATATTTTTCAAATATTACAAACGAGTAAAACAACTCTTAGAGTATTATCAATCACTCTTGGTTCCAAGTATTATAACCACTCTTGGTTCCCGAATATTATAAATCACTCCTGGTTCTCCTAGTCAATCCTCAATAATCCAAGTTTAACCACTCCTGGTATCCAAGTATTATAACCACTCCTGGTATAGACCGAGTATTTTCAACCACTCTTGGTTCCCCTAGTCAATCCTGATTGGTATGTTTAGCTCAATACAAGTGCTTACAAACACAATCAGTGTTTGATTACATATACAGATTTGAGTAACTCTCATTGAGGATCAATACAATATAAAAATATGTGAACTTGTGAAGTTCTTTTTCTTACGTTGAATAGCTTTAGACAATATAAGCTTTGAGGTAGAGTAAAGTTAGTGTTGAATTACCTTTCTTATTTATGTTCTCTCTCTCCTCTTCTCTCTTCTACTTTCACCTTTTTTCAATTTTAACAACTTCTTCTCTTCTACGAATCTTCTTTATATAGCCTTCTTAAGAAATGACCGTTGGACACAACGTTGACTTCTAGATATACTTCATAAACTTTTTATGTAGTTGGTCAGACTTAGGTATACGTTGTAAAGTGATATGCTTTATCAGTGTTTTCTTTCATATGTAGCTTGTACAATCTTTTAGTGCTAAAGGTTTGAGGAAACTTTCCAAGAATGTCTTCTTATCTCTTAAGGTCTTTTTATCCTTTGTGTAGTGTTTCTGAATAAAGCTTAGTATTGACATTACCTGCACAAACACAAGAACAAAGCATGCAAGCAAAGCAGCACTTTTTCGTACAACAAACATTGATGATCATATCACATGTTAGCACGTTTTGATAAAAGCATTGTTTGAAGACAAAGTGTTTGGTATGTTACACTTAGATGATATGATCTTTTAAGCTTTTGTTCCATAAGGTCGTCTAAGCTCAAGTATATTATTTAGTAACGCTTAGCAAAGCTTGATGTTCAAACACTTTATCATTTTGATTAAGCGTTATAATGATTAGATACTCAGTTATGAGTTCTATACCATTTGGCGCTTTTATGTTTTATGTCTTGGACACGTTTGAGATATCAAATAATTATGTCTATCTTTTGATGGCGTTTAGCGTGTTATATTTAAAGATGGCAACGGGTCAGGTCGGACACGGATAGTGTCTACCCACAACCTGACCCAAAAAAAAATTTACCCGTTACTCGACCCGCTACCTGCACGGATACCCGCTTAAAAAATATTTGTGGGTATTTTAAAACCCGCAGACACCCGTAGATACCCGCAAATATTTAAAAAAATATACTTTTATAAATTTTTAAAATAAAATTACAAAAATATATAAAATATAATATAAATTAAATTAAATATAAATTTAATTTTAATTTTAATTAAATTTAACCTTATAAAATATAAATTAATTTTAGTTTTATTTAAATTTAACTTAATAAAATATAAATTAAATTTTTATTTTTATTTTTTGTGGATAGCTGATATCTGCGGTTACGGATAGTATAATACTCGCACCCGATCCGTTTATAAGTGGGTATTAAAATACTAGTTACCCACAACCCATGGGTAGTAAATATCCGCGAGTACAACCTATCCATCGCGAATTTTATCTGAGGATACCCGCGGACGCAAATTTTTTTGCCATCCCTAGTTATATTGATATCATAGATTATTCGTTCCATCAGACGTTTAGTGGCACAATGCATTTGGATATTAACTTTAAGGCTTTAACATTTAGCTTAGAATTCACATGTATTGTGTTTCCATCATATCAGACGTTATTTGCGTTTAGAAAGATTTTACTTCAACCATTGTATTCTTTATAAATTTTTATCTTATTCAATATACTGGATATATTGTTATACATGTTTCATCCAGTACAATACTCTGGTATATGTCAACATTTAAACGTTATATCTTATGACCAATATTTTGTTTAGTGTTGTTTGTTAAATTTCAAAACATGAGTTATTGGACACTCTAGTCTCTCTAGATGATCTTGTCTTAATAGGGATCACTATGATGAGAATATGAGGTAGTAAATGAGGAGTGTAAAGTTAATACTCAAGTAATTGTTCAAGACACGGCTAGAGATGTGAGTTAAATAGAGACATTTTATGAACATTGAAAGAAAGGAGAATCTAGGGGATCGAAAAAAATGGGTATAAAGGAGAGCTTTGAGGGAGAAGGAGGACAAGACACTTTGAGTGCTCTAGCTGATCGAACCTTGAACCTTTTGGCTAGA